AAAAAAAAAAAAATCGTCACTTTTTAGAGCTTGTCACTTTTTTTTTTTTTTTAAAATTTTTTCACTTTCTGACTGTTTGTCACTTTTTTTATTGTTTGTCACTTTTTTAATTTGTATAACTTCTTTTAATTTGTGCCACTTTTTTGAATTCGTCACTTTTAAAAAAAAAAATTGTCACTTTTTTGAAGTGTTTCACTTTTCACCTTCTTGATTTCTATTCACCTTCTTGATTTCTATCACTTTTTTTAGTGTCATATATCAAATTTTAATAAAAGTGACTTTGTATGTCATTTTTTAATACAAAAGTGACACTTAACTTTAAAAAGTGACAATGAGTCACGTTTTCAGTGTCACTTTTCTTTTACAGTCACTTTCTATTAAAAAAGTGACAATTGAATTTACACAGTATTTTTTACTTTTAAAATATGTTTCAAATGATTTTTCAAAAGAACCTTAATTTTAAGGGTATTTTAGTAAGTTGCCCTTCTTTTATTTTGGCCAATAGTGCCAATAAAACCCAATCAGACACTTTCCCATACAACCTATATATCAATTAAAAACAATTAAATTTATAACAACATCCTCGCTAAGTACACACAAATCCACAACCAAAAGAATAAAATGAAAAAATAAATCTTGATCCAGCTATCCAAAAACAGATCAAAATTCGTATACCTTTTTTGATCACCATTTTTCACATTTGTAAAGGAGATCCTTCCTAAAACTAGTCTCCATTACAATTTGGGACACAAAAACTAAAAAAAGAATGTGCAGAAGCTGCACGAATCATGAACAAATTCAAACATCTTTCTTTTCAAGAAAGGGTTTTCAAATGAATCATGGAGATGCAGAATCAAAACTGTTTCCTCTATAATACCTCAATTCCAATGAAATCTGTCTTTCCAACTGAAGTTGCTTATAAAAGTTTGCAATAAACTTGTCTGCTCTCGTATCAATATCATCTTCTGATGGATAACTTATTGTTATCTGAAGCTCCCTCGAAGAAGATCCTGGTTGATCACAATTACGCCAATTGGAATCTTCCGTAAATTCCCTCAATCCGGGCCTGTCATTGAAGCTCAGCCTCCTCTTGCTCGATGAACGCACGATCATAGATGCCAGTTTCCATCTGTTAACATTTAGGTTCAGTAGAAAATTTATCTTTTTCACCGCCCTCTTTAGACGGCCGATCAATGGCCACTTGCTCTCTGTCGCCATCTTGATTAAATAAAGAGCTGAATCAAATATCTATTAATTGTTTTTGTGTGGATAGGGGGTTTGAAGTTGTGTTGTGTTGGAACATCTACTTGCAATTCAAGATATATAGAGACGCGTAGAGGAAGAGAGAGAGAATGAGAGAGAGACTGCAATATACTTCCTTAGGAAGTTTGTAGCCTTTATGTCCTCACACTTTTACAAATAACTAGTTTGACACACGTGCGA